TGCGGCGTCTCAGTATACCGCGAGCTGTAGCTCCCTATATACTGAGCTTAGGGTGACGGGAGGACGCTAGTTTGTGTCCTCCCGTTACCCTAAGGAGAACTATGGGGGAAAGACTTAATCCCATAGTTCTTCTTTTAACTGATATTTGTAGATGGACGTTCTTCTCTTTGATCTGCAGATGAATAAAACAGAACTTATAATGATACAATGTTACTTTGTATCTCTCTGTGAACATGTGTCTGACGGTCCGTTTTATGACCGCAGCAGCTATTAAGTTGACGCGTTTAGTATGTTAGGTTTCTCATTTCTGGGTGATGATCGGTGTTACTCACTGTTACAGAAAGTCAGTATTGATGTATAATATGTCACCTCTCCTTTTCAGGGATGGATACAGGACGAGAAGACCCTGGAGGAGGCAACACAAAATGTGGCCCTGCTTCACCAAAAGTTGCGGTACGTTCCCAATGACCTCCGACTTTCAAAGCCCAGAGACACTATTACTCAAATAAAAAATATATATACCGTGTATATATACTGTATGTACATGTATTGTATTATATATACTCCATACAAAGGGCGCTTCACCATGTCTGATCAATAAGATTCAAAGAGGAGAATTTATCAAAACTGGAGCAGACAAAATCTGGAGCAGCTGAATTGATAAATTCCCCCCAGAGTGTTTTATTAAATATATAAAAATATTAAATAAATTTTATTTTGACCCTTTTTTTTTAGGTGCTACAAAATAAAAAATCCCTTTTACACATTTTTGGTTGTTAAATACAAATACAATATTTGGGATGTAGCACCATTTAAATTCTGGTATCTACACTCCCCTGTTAGTGTAATTTGTCTAGTTTATGAAATATTCTTCCCCGTGTGATGGAATATGAAGGTCACTGTGTATCTTTGTGTTATCGGCAGGGGTCTGTCTCCCCCCGAGGCGGAGATGTTGTACATGCAGGAGATCGAGCGCCTCGAAAATTATGGAGAGGAAACTTACCCCGCCAAGGTAAATTGTGGAAGAGGAAACTTTGTAACGGTTTTGTCTCAGCCTTTAGAAACGGTAATTTTGAATATTTACTGTCGATTTAATGTAGTAATATACTGTAATAATATAGTGTGTGTGTGTGTGTGTGTGTGTATGTGTATATATTAGAGGTGCACCAAAATGGAAATTTTAAAACCGAAACGAAATCGAAATAAAAAAAAATTGTCAGACCGAAACCAAAAATGTTATTTTTTTTTAAATTTTAAATATTTTATTTTTATATAAACTTTTTATTTTTATTTATTAATTATTTGCTACTTTACTTTTAGGGGCTTCGGGGAAATATTAGGAGTCTAAACAGACCCCTGATATTTCCCTTTTAAAATAGAAAAAGAGATTGAGGACACAAAGTCCTCAATCTTTTTTTCTGTATCACCTGTTATCAATGACTAGGAATCCTCTATGAGTGTTCCTGTTCATGCATAACATGAGGACATGGTATGTTTACTATAACTACAACTATGAATGAACAGGAAGTGATGTAGATCACTTCCCATTCATTCATAATTGAGGATATAGTAACCATACCATGTCCTCAATTATCTACAAACACTCAGCAATCACTGATCACCGACTGCTTGTACCCGCTCTCCTCTCTGACACGCTGTCACAGGAGGCTGAGCGAGCGGTGTAGGGAGGAAAGCCCAGCCTCCTGTGACAGCGTGGGCTGCCTCCGCCCCCACACCGCTCTGCCGGACCGTGTGATAGGCGGCTGAGCGGTGTGGGAGGAGATGCCGGCCGCTCACTGTGCTCTCCTCCCGCAGCGCTCGGCCGGCTATCACAGTTTCTCTCCTCTCGGCTGGAACATGGAGCAGCGCCCAGCGGGGAGGAGAGAAATCAGGGAATGCGCCGCTGTATCGGCAAGAAAATGGCACTTTCGGCACTATGACAAAAGTGCCATTTTCGGCCGATATGTTTCTGCGCATCCCTAGCATACATGTGTGTGTGTGTGTGTGTGTGTGTGTATATAATGTATTTATTTATATAGTGTGTGTAACTTGAATACATATATGTATATAGTGCATAAAGCTTATAAAAGAGTTTATTGATTTGGGTTTTTGTCTACTTTAGTCTTCCATACATTAGGCTGCTGTGCAATAACAAGTCTTTATCGGGTATGATTATGACTTTCATTGCACTACAACCCCAAAATATCCTTTTCCAGGTACCGGGAGGAATTTGGATCTCTCCGATCTGCTCTTTGAGGTTTGGGGATGTGCGGAGTTTTGATGCCGCTATAAATGGGAGATTTACTCTTTGATCTCTGTCATCATTTCACATATTTTGTTAGATGAGCTTTATAGCAGCGGAGGGATTTCTGATTGGTGGTGCGCCATTCTTTTTTTTATAGATCCCTCCAGAATAACACTTCCAGGAGAATTCCCTCAATAATCATTTGCTGATCAGTGCAGTAGAGTGACCCTCCATAGGACAGTTCGGGGACGTATAGTGACATGCAGGAACGGAGCACCTCTTGTATGAAGGATTTAGGCTGCACTCAGAACAATTGATTTTCCTCTGTACAGTTGTATGACACACCGAGGTTAATATACCTATTGATTCCTGTGTGGCACCAACATCTTCTGCAGTGCGGTACAAAGTGAGAGCGTGCAGAGCTGGCACCATTAATACAATAATCCAGGAAATCCTGAAATGTTGTGCCTCATGATGATATGGTGATGTACAAAGAAAAGCTTTCATGCTGGTGCATATCTGATTAGCAGGAAGATGTACAGAGGGGGAGGGGCTTGGTACTTGGCCACACCTTCTAACCCCTGTGCAGCCATTAATAGGGCCAGCATGTTGCATTGTGGGACATCTGTTGATTGTAGGGGATTTGCCTCAGCTGCAGAGAACTTCAAATACATCTCTATGCAAAACGTGTTTTTTTTTTTTTGATAGAGCGGTGGAAGGTTAGACCTTCCGTGAAGCTGGAGGGGGAGCTGGTTCCCCCCCTCTGTTGGTACTGCTAACCATTGTCACCGGGATGGAACGTAAGGGGAATTCCAAAATTGGAACAAGAGGCAAGGAAAACCTTCCAATGGGTACACTTGTTCATAGGACAGCAGTTCCCCTCACTTTGGAAGATTTCCTCTTACTTCCTGTTGTGTTTCTGGGACAGGAAGTGGAAGGCATTTTCCCCAATGGAACACAGACAGCAGATATAAACCAGCAGAGGTTTTAATCATTACCTACTATATCCAAAACTAACAAAAAAAAATGGCCTCTATATACTTAAAAAGATGTCACCCAATCCATCCAGGATGGTCAAGAACACAGACACGCCATCCTAAGTTTATAATGAATAACTTTGTGATTGTAAATCAGTTGTGGTTGTTGTGACAATATTTTAACTTCTTGTTTCTAGGACAGTCAAGGTACCGACCTCTCTATCGGGGCCTGTCTGACTGGGATCTTCGTGAGACACAAAAATGGCCGCCCACCTGTTTTATTCCGGTGAGTCTTCACGCTTGCTATGCACCTGACCATCGCACCTGTATGAACTTGTTGGACCTCTCATTCCAGAACCAGGTGCATAAAATCAACTAGCACAGAGCCTCCTATAGAATACAAAGACACAGTTTGGTGAAGACCCTTTTCTGTTCCACCATGACTGTAACCTGTGTACAAAGCCACATCCATAAAGACATGGTGTGACCAGTCTGGTGGAGGAACTCGAGTGTCCTGCACAGAGCCCTGACCTCAAACCTCCTGAACACTTTTGGGATGAATTGGAATGCTGATTGTGAGCCGGGTCTTCTCATTCAACACCAGTACCTGACCTCACAAATACTCTTTTGGAAAGCCTTCCTAGAAGAATTGGGGCTGGTATAGTTGCAAAGAGGGACTAACTCCATATTATTTGCCAACTCTATATTAATGATCACATGGAAACCATCTCCAGATTAATGGCCATGGGGGACCATGTTCAAATTGAATGGCTTGGGGAGCCATCTCCATGTTAATGGCCATGGTGGACCAGCTTTAAAATGAATGGCCATGGAGGACCATCTCCATATTACTGGCCACGGGAGACAATCTCCATATTACTGGCCACGGGGGACCATATCCATATTAATGGCCACGGGAGACCATCTCCATATTAATGGCCACGGGGGACCATCTCCATATTAATGGCCACGGGAGACCATCTCCATATTAATGGCCATGGTGTCCATCTCCATATTTGGCCATAGTTTTTGAATGGGATGAAGTCAGCTCCATAAAGACATGGTTTACCCAGTTAGGTCTGGAGGAACGCAAGTGTCTTATCAGAGGCCTGACCACAGCACCACTGAACACCTTTGGGATGAATTGAAACGCTGATTGTGAGCCGGGTCTTCTCATCCAACATCAGCACCTGACCTCACAAATGCTATTTTGGAAAGCCTTCCTAGAAGAATGGGGGCTGGTATTGTTGCAAAGAGGGGCTAACTCCATATTAATGACCATGTGGGGACCATGTTCAAAATTAATAGCCGGGGGGAGGGGGGTTGATCAGCTTCAAAATGAATGGCCATAGTTCTGGAATGGGATGTTCATCAAGCTCATGCAGGTGTGACGGTCCGGTGTCCACACATTTTGGCCGTACAGTTTGCATGATCATTCTGCAAGGGTTAATTGTAGCAGTGAGGGTCACACTGGTTCTGACAGTACAGCAGGTCATTGAATGAGGCACTAAGGTGAAACCAGAACCTAAATTTAGATGCCCAGACCCACAGATGATCAGACTGAGTGATTGGAAACACTGAGTTGCCTTCTTTCATGTCTGCATTGATTATTTTTATTTTCCAAATTGCATTTTGGAATGTGTCAGTTTGATAAAATACATATTCCCAAATTTCTTCTTTTTTTATAACTGAGATTTCTTGTTTTGTAATTCTGTCTGTAAAATATATACATTGTATACAGTGAGGGATAATAGTCCCTTATGCGGTCCCATTACTAACCCCCCTTTACCATTCTAAACAATTCTCAGATCTGATGGGGTCTCCCGTTGTCTTGTCTGCAGGTGGCTGGACATTGCTAACATGTCTCATAACAAATCGTTTTTCACCTTGGAGCTGGCAAACAAGGAGGAGACCATCCAGTTCCAGACGGTGAGCAGTTTATTATTATTACACAGGGTTTATAGAGCGCCAACAGTTTGCGCAGCTCTTTACAATATAAGGAAGACATTACAATTGCAATACAATTCAAGACAAGATGGTGAGGAGGGCCCCGCCCCCGAGGGCTTACAATCTAAAAGGGGAGGGGTCAGTGATACATGAGGAGGGAGCTGTGTGTGGATGAATTGTTTGAGAAAGTGATGGTTGAGTGGTTAGGTTGAGGTGGGATCGGCTTCCCTGAAGAGATGAGTTTTCAGGGTACGCCTAAAGGCAATCAAGGTGGGAGATAGACGGACAGGTTGGGGTAAAGCATTCCAGAGGATGGGAGATACTCTAGTGAAGTCCTGGAGGCGAGCATGGGAGGAGTTGATGAGGGAGCTGGGAAGCAAGATGTCGTGGGAAGAGCGGAGGGGACGTTTAGGGTGATACTTTGAGACAAGGTTGGAGATATAGCCGGGGGCGGAGTTGTGGAGGGCTTTGTAAGTGGTTGTTAATATTTTGAATTTGATCCTTTGGGCTATTGGAAGCCAGAGGACGGATTGACATGGAGGGGCAGGGAATGGAAGCCAGCGGAGGGATTGACATGGAGGGGCAGGGAATGAAAGCCAGCGGAGGGATTGACATGGAGGGGCAGGGAATGAAAGCCAGCGGAGGGATTGACATGGAGGGGCAGGGAATGAAAGCCAGCGGAGGGATTGACATGGAGGGGCAGGGAATGAAAGCCAGCGGAGGGATTGACATGGAGGGGCAGGGAATGAAAGCCAGCGGAGGGATTGACATGGAGGGGCAGGGAATGAAAGCCAGCGGAGGGATTGACATGGAGGGGCAGGGAATGAAAGCCAGCGGAGGGATTGACATGGAGGGGCAGGGAATGAAAGCCAGCGGAGGGATTGACATGGAGGGGCAGGGAATGAAAGCCAGCGGAGGGATTGACATGGAGGGGCAGGGAATGAAAGCCAGCGGAGGGATTGACATGGAGGGGCAGGGAATGAAAGCCAGCGGAGGGATTGACATGGAGGGGCAGGGAATGAAAGCCAGCGGAGGGATTGACATGGAGGGGCAGGGAATGAAAGCCAGCGGAGGGATTGACATGGAGGGGCAGGGAATGAAAGCCAGCGGAGGGATTGACATGGAGGGGCAGGGAATGAAAGCCAGCGGAGGGATTGACATGGAGGGGCAGGGAATGAAAGCCAGCGGAGGGATTGACATGGAGGGGCAGGGAATGAAAGCCAGCGGAGGGATTGACATGGAGGGGCAGGGAATGAAAGCCAGCGGAGGGATTGACATGGAGGGGCAGGGAATGAAAGCCAGCGGAGGGATTGACATGGAGGGGCAGGGAATGAAAGCCAGCGGAGGGATTGACATGGAGGGGCAGGGAATGAAAGCCAGCGGAGGGATTGACATGGAGGGGCAGGGAATGAAAGCCAGCGGAGGGATTGACATGGAGGGGCAGGGAATGAAAGCCAGCGGAGGGATTGACATGGAGGGGCAGGGAATGAAAGCCAGCGGAGGGATTGACATGGAGGGGCAGGGAATGAAAGCCAGCGGAGGGATTGACATGGAGGGGCAGGGAATGAAAGCCAGCGGAGGGATTGACATGGAGGGGCAGGGAATGAAAGCCAGCGGAGGGATTGACATGGAGGGGCAGGGAATGAAAGCCAGCGGAGGGATTGACATGGAGGGGCAGGGAATGAAAGCCAGCGGAGGGATTGACATGGAGGGGCAGGGAATGAAAGCCAGCGGAGGGATTGACATGGAGGGGCAGGGAATGAAAGCCAGCGGAGGGATTGACATGGAGGGGCAGGGAATGAAAGCCAGCGGAGGGATTGACATGGAGGGGCAGGGAATGAAAGCCAGCGGAGGGATTGACATGGAGGGGCAGGGAATGAAAGCCAGCGGAGGGATTGACATGGAGGGGCAGGGAATGAAAGCCAGCGGAGGGATTGACATGGAGGGGCAGGGAATGAAAGCCAGCGGAGGGATTGACATGGAGGGGCAGGGAATGAAAGCCAGCGGAGGGATTGACATGGAGGGGCAGGGAATGAAAGCCAGCGGAGGGATTGACATGGAGGGGCAGGGAATGGAAGCCAGTGGAGGGATCGGCAGAGGGGGGCAGGGAATGGAAGCCAGTGCAGGGATCGGTAGAGGGGGGTTGCAGAAGCTGAACGGTTGGTTAGGTGGATGAGTCTAGCAGCTGCATTCATGATAGACTGACGGGGGGAGGAGCCTGTGTAGTGGAAGTTTATGTTCTGTATGTCTCTCCCCAGTGTGCGTGTGTGTGTGTGTGTGTGTGTGTGTGTGCGCGCGCGTGTGCGCGTACACGAGACCTGCTCAGTGAAAAGACTTCTTTTGCCCTTTGAAATTCACACCAGCAGCACACTCAGTTTACCTTAAAGCCTAAATGAAATCTCAGTTTAAATTAGGTTAGCACAGTCCAGCGGCACCAAAACAAAAACATTTGCAAAATGTGTCTATTGTATAGAATGCAGGTACAGCCCGTCCCCTGCCAGCATGCTTTAGAGAACGAGCCTTGCTCTCTGTGCAGAAGCAGCGGTCTCTCTGCAGAGGTCCAACACCCCCAGTGCTTAGATACAGCCGGAGCTTGCCAATCAACGGCGAGCATGTGATTTGCTGATTGCGGACCTCTGACTCAGCAGGGGGCATGTCAGACCTCTGCAGAGAGACCACTGCTTATACGCAAAGAGCAAGGGTCTTTCTCTGCAGCATGCTGGCAGGGAGAAACTTTGCTACCCAGGATGCGGCTGCTATAGAAAGAAAACAAAAAGACATTGAACGCCTTGTGTTGTGCTGCGCCTGGAATGCATTTAGCTGATTTAAGCGGAAGGTTTCATTGAGCTTTGATATGTGTCTGTGTAATCCCCTGCACTCAGAATCCACAGAGCTCCTTACAGGGTGGCCTGGTGCACTTCAGCACTGCTGCGATGATGATATGAATGCCGAGCAGATCGGTTGTGCTCCCTTTGTGCATCTCGGGGTGTACGCGTCTATTTTCACTGGAGTGTACCTTTTTAAGAAAGGGTTTTGGCACGGTCTGATTAGCCCGGCGGGTCTCACGGGCCGTGTTTTGGTTTCAGCTGACGGCAGATGGTCCGCGCTTCCTTTTTCCAATAACTTTTCCTGTTTTGTTCTTTTAGGAAGACATGGAAACTGCCAAATATGTGTGGAGGATGTGCGTGGCCCGGCACAAGTTCTACAGAATGAACTGCAACCTGTGAGTACCCGGCCCCGAGGATAGAGTTTGTCAATGGATCGGGGACTCGAATGGCCCTTCCTAGCTCGGCCCCGTCCTCAGGCCCACATGTTCTAGGGTTGGAGGTCATGTCATTAGCGAAATGTCCATTTACGTGAGGTTTGCTTCAAACGTCCAATCATGCGCCAGAGATTCAAACCAAAAAACAAATCTCCTGTACGTGATTGGAGGAATCAATCAAACTACTTACCCCCATTGACTCCATACCGGATTTATTATGTTTTCTTCTAGACCCTTTAGTGTATTCGTTGAATATCAGTTTAGATTTGTATGACCGCAAACCTGAGACACAAACTCCATATTGCTGGAGGACAGGGCTGCCATTAGGGGGGTACGGCCAGCACTCGAGTAAGGGGCCCCAGCAGCTTGGGGGGCCCGGGCTCCAACACAGGAGCTTATGCTATAAAATAATATTATGAACAGTCCACACAGGAAGTGATCAGCTCACTGGATTTACAGACACTTCATATATGCGCACTAGGGATGCACCAATACCGGCTTTTCGGTACCGAGTACAAGTACCGATATTTTGCTATCGGTACTTGCCGATACCGAGTGCCGATACCGACTTTTCCAGCTGGCATGGAGCCGGCTTCCCAGGCAATCAGGAAGCCAGGCGGCGGGAAATGCCATGCCGTCCGGCTTCCTGATTGCTTGGAAAGCCGGCTCCATGTCGTTTGGCCGGCTCAATTGTGATTTGCCGGGAAACCG